TTCTCCATATTCTCACCACTAAGTTTCTCATCCAGTTTAGTGGGCAGCAGCCTATCATGTTATTCTTTTAGTTGGTATTTCCCTGATTACTGTGACTTTGACCATCTTATCATGTACTTATTGACCACTTTTTTTCCTTTTATGAGTTGCTTGTCTGTATCTTATGCCCATGGTTCTGTTGTTTCCTCTTGGTTTAAATGATTTTTTTTTTTTTTTTTAGATATCGGTCTTTGATTTGTTAGATATGTTGCAATCTCAGCCCATTACTTGTCTTTTAAATGTGGGTGTCTTTTCTCATATAAAACATTGAAATGTATCCTATAATCCGTCAGTCTCATCCTGCTGGCTCAGCTTCTTTGTGGCTTAAGAGGGCAGTGCCTATCCCAAAGTGATCATTTACTTTTCATTATCTCCCAGAATAATATTTGAAGGGGGGAGTTTGACCACACAGCTACGTTTCCCTGTAGAGAGAAGTCAGTTCCCCTCCACTTACAAGTGGAACTTCCTAGAACAAGCCCCTTTGCTTGTTGACGCTCTGCAGTGTACTTTCTGGGCAGCCACATGTGCTGAATGCCGGCCGTCAGTCAGGTCCTGCCCACCCCACGGTGCACCTGGACTTCTTGATATTACATTTGAAGTGGAGGGAGAAAGCTGCGTTAGCAGGAGCTGTGGTGGCTACAGCCCTGAGTAAGCCAATCCTCCCCTTAACCCAGGCAGAAGAATCCAAGGGAGAGAGAAGGCTCACAGTTCTCTCCGTCTCCTCTTAGGTGGAAGAACGTGTCTCTTGGACACAGAGGATGGGGTCATTATTCTGAATTTCCTGTATAAGGTCAAAGCTGTGATTCCTCATTGTCAAGAGGTATTATTGTTATCCCAGTTTTCCCTATAAGGAAAAAGCTAAATGTACAGATTGAATGTAATGCCATGTTAAAATTCCAGCTCTAATTTCTGCCTGGAATCAATCTTAGTGTTAGAGACGGGAAGCTTTGATGTGTTTCTTACCACTCCCCAGACACTTAGTTCATATTATTCCTCCCGTGAAGTAAGTGCTGTTCTCCCTGGGTTTTAGAGATGCGAAAACAGGCTTGGAGAGATTAGGGAATGTAGTCAAGGATACAGAGCAGGTAAAGAGAGGAACCGGGGCTGAAATCCAGTTTGTGTTTGCCCCTCATACCATCCTTCTCGCAAAGGATCTGCTAAAAAGCACATGAAGCTACTAGCCCAAGAAAAGCACATTCTTTTTTTTTTTTTCCTTCCTTCAATCAACAACTAGCAAGAATGTTGCTAGGAAATTGTCTCCACCAAGTGGATATTTTTATTTCTGCTAGTTGGAAATGGAAAATAAGGTATGTGTGGAAAACATTTAACTTTTAAGGGACACCTTGAAGGTTTCCTCCAACAGAATTCATTAAAGTCATGGTATTTTACTAATTGAAAAACTCACGGTTGAACGAGCTGGTGATTTCTGTTTATTGCTAACCCATATTCCTTTCAAAGCACCACTTGAACTACAGCTGGGAAGCATTTTAAGCTAGGCTTTAGTTCAGTTTGTTTTTTTTTTTTCAGTTTATGCCATCTATTTTTGTTAGTGGGAATGTTTGTCATTTTTTCCAAGGAAGTTAACTATAAATTATACTTCAGAGAACTTCTGAGCAAATATGTTCATGCCTCAGCACTTTAATGTGTCAATTAGCTATTAACGGTGTCAGTAAATTAGACCTGTCAAAAATAATAGCCTCCTTGACTAGGTTTTTACCACCATTTCACTTGAGGGTGTTACTTATAAATTTTAACCTCCAGAACTGTTAAAAAACAAGGTTGTAGAAATCTGCTTTGCAAAAGATAAACTCTGAAAGAGTTTGTGGAAAGTCACCCAAGGCTTGAGTCTGTGGGTGTTTTAAGAACTGGTAGCCCCTAATTTACAGACCTCAAGCCGACCAACAGCTGGGTTCCATTTATGGCTGGCAGTGAAGTTTATCCCAGGAACTCCAGACCCTGAAGTGCCTTCTTTTGTACGTGTGCTGTGTATGCTTAATCGCTCAGTCATGTCCGACTCTTTGCGACCTCGTGGACTGTAGTCCTCCAAGCTCCACTGTCCATGGGAATTTTCATGCAAGAATTCCGGAGTGAGTTACCACTCCCGTCTCCAGGGAATCTTCCCCACCCAGGGATCGAACCCCCATCTCTAACATTGTGGTCGGATTCTTTACCGTCTGAGCCACCAGGGAAACTCTTTATGCATGTGATGAGTTAGCAACTTATTGCTACTGTTCTCATGATAGGCAGAGTTACCTTCCCCTCCACATCAGGGTTCTGATGAAGGACTGACGTCATTAGAACCTGCTCTCTCTCCTCTCTCCTCTTGTGCCAAGAGGGCAGAGCCAGTCTTTCTGTAGGCATCAGAGCTGAGACAGGAGAACCGGGTGAGAAACTCAGAAAAAAATAATATGAGTAACGATTAAAGCTTAAAGCCTACTGTTATTTTCCCCAGTCATATTAAGGGTTGAGTGCACCAGCCTGGGATTCTGACCACTGTGTACCATCTGGGAAAATGCATTTCACGTTCTGAGTGATCAGAGTGTAGACTTAACTATTTGCACAGCTCGTGTGTTTTCTGTACATAAAGTCGGTGAGATTACTAAGGTAAATGCAAATTATGGTGGATGATAAGATTTTCTAGAATAGTTTTTTTTTTTAACATATATAATAGAGCTTATGGGCTTCCTAGGTGGCACTAGTGGTAAAGAATCAGCTTGCCAATACAGGAGATGCAAGAGACGTGGGTTCAATCTCTGGGTCGGGAAGATCCTCTGGAGAAGGGAATGGCAACCCACTCCAGTATTCTTGCCTGGAGAATCTCATGGACAGAGGAACCTGGTAGGCTACAGTCCATGGGGTCACAAAGAGTTGGACACGATTGAGCGACTATTACTACCACTAAGTCACACATACACTTTCTTGTCTGTTTAGGATTGCAGTAAGAATCAGCTAAAATATCTCAAAACCATAGATTGAAACAAATGTCAAAAAACTATTGAAACCACACTGTCCCAGTAGCTCTGGTGGTGATGAGCCAGTTGCAGTTACTCTGGAGGACCCTCTTTAACCTTGCAAGGAACGAACAGGCTTCTTCCCCCTGTGCTTCTGTGCTCCCTGGTTCTGGCTGGGGGACTAGAGGATTGCAGTTTAAAATGGAGCGGAGTTAGTATTCTGCAGCAAACACACAGATCGCCCTTGCAGCACTTCTATTACTACCAAAATAAGCCTCCCGTTATCCTGTTTTGCTAAAAATAAGTTTTACTGTTTGGTTTTTTTTTTGACAGCTTCACCATCAGTAAAATTATTTTCTGTCTGGAAACAGTTCACACTATAAAAGGGAAGATCGTTGTCCTTGCTTTCTGCATTTGTGGTGGAGGTGGTGTTCAATTGCTAAGTCAGGTCAGACTCTTTGTGACCCCATGGCTTGCAGCATGCCAGGCTCCTCTGTCCTCCACTGTCTCTCAGTATTTGCTCAAACTCATATCTATTGAGTTGGTGATGCCTTCTAACCATCTCATCCTCTGTCATCTTTTTCTCCTCCTCCTGCCTTTAATGTTTCCCAGCATTAGGGTCTTTTCCAATGAGTCAGCTCTTCACATCAGGTGGCCAAAGCTTCAGTTTCAGCAATGGTCCTTCCAGTGAATATTCAGGGCTGATTTTTGGGGGCTTGACTGTGGATTGCATTTGTAGAGGCTTAAATTTGTTCAGTCAATTAGAACATCTTCTGGGTACTCTTCAAAATGGATCCTGGAGATAGGAATAAAACTTAAAATTTTATTTTTTGATCAAGAAACATGGCCTGGAGGCCACCTTCCAGCATTATTCCCTGAATATATGATTATTGTAGCCTTAGAATTAATATTTATGATTATCATTGGCTTTGCCTGAACACAGTAGGAAATGACTTGGTGTATCTTGGCACTTAAGAGTTTTTTCAAATAAAAAAGGTCGATCCCAAATGTAAACCTGATAGATACTGTGTTCATTTGTTTAACAAATATTTACTTACACTGGTGTGTCGTCACTATTTCAGATTGAAATTTAGCACTGTTTCAGGCTGAAATGAACATAATGACATTTAAAAAATATATTCATTTAAATCCTATTAATTTAAAATTTGTTAGTGTCTGGACAAAATCCAGTCTGAAGTTTACTATCATCCTGGCTGTGCAAATAAGGAGATATGACTAAGGAAATGAGTGGTGTAGGAGGAATGCTCAAAGAAACCAACAGAGCAAGCTTTTAGGATACTTGGAAAGTATCCATTTGTACGCAGTCAATTTCATAATTATAAAATATTCTTCTAGGAACTAACCAATGCTTATTTAAACCCAGTGTTATTGTATGTGCCCTGAAAAATTTTTTAAAGGTCATGAAAATACATCTTGATTCAGATTCCTTATGGTTCATGATGATATTTCAGTTGGTCTCATTTATAATCTTTGACTAATAGTAGAAGATGTGACTCTTTGGGAGCTCTGCTCAGTTATAAGGTTTCCAATGTCAAAATCATTAAAACATCTGTTTTAAAGGTCTGATGTGTAAACGGATAAGAGGGTTGAGAGAGTGGCAGATGAGGTTTCTCAGGGTGAAAGGCAGTGTCATGTGGATTTTGTAGCCAGATCTGAATGGAATTCATTCCAGCCTCTTACTCACTCATCCCTGGCATATCATGTAGCTTTTGTGTGTCTCGGTTTCCTCATCTGTGACTGTGGGAATAATAACTCTCAGAGATGTAGCCTGAGGATCCTGCATATGCCAGACTGAAAAGTGTGCCATAGGGATTAACTTTCTTTCCATTCTTGCTTGTTTTAACATGTGTTTTAACCATTTTACAGTCTTTTTTTTTTTTTTTTTTTCCGGAAAACAGAAAGTCATTCAGGAGGACAATGTAAAATGTGAGTTTCTCTCTGGACAACCACATGTTTTATGCTAATGTAAATGCCTTACTTTAATTGCAGGTTACATCCAGGCGTGTAGAGGACTTATGATTGCCGCTGTCAGCCTGGGCTTTTTCGGTTCCATATTCGCCCTGATTGGCATGAAATGTACCAAAGTCGGAGGCTCAGATAAAGCCAAAGCTAAAATTGCTTGTTTGGCTGGGATTGTATTCATATTGTCAGGTAAATAGTAACTTTCTTCCAAACAAGGTGCTTCAGGATGTTCATGAAACACCAGGTGTCATAGTACTTTCCTTCTGATGCTCTTTAGGGCTGTGCTCAATGACCGGGTGTTCCCTGTATGCAAACAAAATCACAACAGAATTCTTTGATCCCCTCTTCGTGGAGCAAAAGTAAGTACTCTTCTTAAGTCTGTATGCTTGTGGCTTACAGGAAACAGGTTTCAAATCATCTTCTAAATTAAGGTACCTAAATTTCCTCTATGGCTTATGAAACTGGGACATACTGATAGAGGCTATTTGATGACATCATTTAAGAGCAAACAGTGTAGGTGCTACATTGGCAAAGATGCACTGAATCACTGCATTAGTGTTACAAATGTCTTGTAACATACTTGTCTCTAAATAGCTCAAGGCTTAGGATTTAGAACGCTAAAAGTCATCTGCTATACATTGTAAAGTGAAGTCACTCAAGTCGTGTCCGACTCTCTGCGACCCCATGGACTGTAGCCTACCAGGATCCTCAGTCCATGGGATTTCCCAGGCAAGAATACTGGAGTGGGTTGCCATTTCCTTCTCCAGGGGATCTTCCTGACCCAGGGATTGAACCCAGGTCTCCTGCATTTTAGGCAGACGCTTTACCATCTGAGCTACCAGGGAAGCCATACATTGTAAAACTGAAGTCAAATTGGAGAAAAGTGAAAGAGAGGTGCAAGATGGGGAGGAAAGAAGGAGAAAGTGTGATAACCAAAAATTAAGAGCTTGCCTTGATTGTTGTCCATCCAAAATGATACTTGCCAGATTTTAGGCTGTGGGCCAGTTTCCATCACAGACATTGAGATGAAAACAAGGCTGTGATTTTGAAGATTAGAAATGATTAAATGATAGTGAATAAAATATTATTTTTCATTTTTAATCAGCCTTTTACATTTGTTCTGTTGACTCTGGCCTTAACAAGTTATACCTAATAAACTGTACACGATGCAGGGTCTTTAAAAAAAAATTCTCTAAGAGTGGCACAGACACCCAGATGTGACCAGTTTCAGCTGCGGGTGAATGCTTTGGCACTTAACAGACCAGTTCTCTTGTTGCTGTTGGTTTTTAACTGTGGGCTGTTGCTTTTTATAGTTTCCCTAGGCTTATTTCTTTGCTTTGGAAAAAACCCATGGAATACCAAATTAGAAATCATAATAGATCAAACAGTTTGTCTTCCGTGAGAATATTCCCATAGATTCCTGTAGAAAATTGCTCGTGTATGCATGTGTACTGCTATCAACCAGGCTGGGGATTTTCTTTCAGTCTTTAGATAAAACACTATAGAATTTTAAAAGAGTAATTACTAAAATGTCTGATCAGGATCCATTACTGTTTTTCTGGTGGATTTAGGAATCTTTAGGAAATGATTTTTCTAGTAGTGTCTCTTGTGTAGTTCATGCATAAATAGTAAATGCTTATATAATGAAAATAATAGCTAACACATGTTATGCCCTACCATTGACCAGAGCATTTCAAATATTATTTTATTATTTTACTCTTACAATAGCCTCTAGTAGAAGAGAAGGAGACAAAAATTAGGAAAATCAAATAAGCTGAAAATTGGATATCAACACATAGTAAACTGATTCCGTAGGTCTTAAAGTATTTAATTTCTGAAGTGAGATTTTGATTTTGGCATATTCTAGGGGAGAGGACTTCCCAAGCTGGCATTTCCTAGAGTTTAGTAATCGGTGCCTCTGTTGTAGTTTGTGAATGAACTCGGAGAGGAATATGTTGGAGAACTGCTGCCAAAGGCAGGGGCAGCCCTAGGGGGGCTGGGGTGAGGACACCCCTCCAGGGGTGTTCTGATTATTTCCTTGGTGTCTTCATTAATGTTCATGAGAGTAAGCTGAGAACAGAAAACACTTACATATCATCTTTTATTTGCCTAGCACGATACCTGGTTAAGTGAAAGTCTGATCTGCAGAGCTAGTCCTCTAGGGATTAGCAGAAAGGCCTTCCGTTATCTCAGCAGACTGAGGAAGCCTCTGCGAAAATGGAGACAGAAGGCTGGCTCATCCTCCTCTCCCATCTGCATCATGCATTCATCTTTCTAGAGCAGCAGCTCTCCCTGCCGCCCTAGACGGCGCAGCTGTGGCACAGGGATGTGTGTGTGTAGTTAGCAGTGAGGGACAGGTGTTTGCCACATGCTCTAGTTTAAATTTCTGGCGACGTAATTCATGGCCTAATATATGGACTATCTTGGAAAATGTCTTGTGCATTTGAGAAGAATGTTTATGCTGTTGTTGGTTGGTGTTCTGTATATGTCTCTTAGATCTCATTAGTTTATTGTGTTAAGTCCTCTATTTCCTTATCTTCTGATTGATTGTTCTGTTAATTACTGTAAGATACTGAAATCTCCAACTCTTATAGTAGAACTGTTTATTCCTTTTTTCAATTCTGTCAGTTTTTGCTTCATAGATATTCTGTCATTATGTGCATAAATGTTTATGGTTGTTTTATCTCTTGCTGTATTAAATCTTTCGTTAATATAAAAAAAAATAAATTTCTGGTAAGCAAATACCTGCCTTAAGATGCATTGAAAAACAGTTTGGGCCGCCAGAACCTGGTTTTGTTGCTATTGTTTTTCTTAAGGATTCGCTACCATGTAAACTGAATCTTTGTGGATTTCCAAGACTCACCTTGGTTGCTTACATTAGGCACACATGACTAAGCTCATCTGCAGAGTTCACACCACATTCCTACTATGTGCAGGAAACTCAGGAGGTGCTTTATTGATGAGGGAACAAAATGAGTGGCTTCTGATGTATCATTGGGATGAAGATTGTGGCAGTTGCACTGCAAACAGTATTAGGCTTTGTGTTCAGTGGCTGATTATTTCTGAAACCCTTTCTTTCCCACAACTTATCTGGGAAGATTTTTCTTCCTGCCTACAATCATTTGATTGCAATTGCAATCCTTAAAGAGTTTCACCTGGCTATGGTTGTGTTCTGCCATTTCCTCACTTTTTTTCCTTTTGTTTTGCTTCTTTGCTTTGATTCAAGTTGTGATTATGTTTTATGGCTCCAGGATGGACTCCTGCAAAGCCTTGAAAACTTTCTCAATGCTTCCCTTTGGGCTGTTTCAAACAAACTTCCTCCTTTTTATTAAAGCAATATCTACCAAATTAAAATAAAATCTATCCTCCTGCAAACTGATGGTCATAAGCACCCCGGAGTCTGATTCACCCTGTCGTTTTGTTGAAATATACAGTATTCCCACCATCTGTTGTCCAAACCACTAACTTCCTGAGTGTCTTGCTTTGTTTATTTCTTAAATAGATAGTTCCAAGAAGAATTGATTGGCATAAAGAAGCTTCTTTTCAAATCATGCAAAGTTAGAGCATTGAACCGATTTCCTTAATTGAGAAAACAGAACATCTGATCTTAGATTTATTATCTTTTAGTCAGTGAGATTTATCATTAACATTTTGGCTCAGATATTCATGGTTTGGTTCTTATCATACTCAAACCTTTTTAAGTTCAGAGTTTTTAAAACCATGGAGTTCTTTACCTCGAGCACTCTTCATTCCTGGAATACAGTTAGTTTCTACTTTAAGTTTTACTAAGGTAAAATCTTTTCACTGTTGTGGTTATTTAGTAGTTAGAAATAAACAACTGTCTGCTTCCTGGTAAAGTCTCTCATTCCTGTGTGTGTCTATCAAGTTAAATGCACAGCAGAGAATTCAAGAAGTATGTTTCTAGATGAGACATATTTTCCCGGGTGAACTTGAAAGGACAATCGATCTCACTAGGTGGCCTTGCCAAGATATTTAACTTCTGTACTGTCTTTATTATAATTTAATGAATTATAGATGTTTGTTTACTTAAGCTTGTTCCAATCATGAGGTTATTTGGAGAATGAATTAATACTGATAAGAGGTTCATAGAGTCTCAGGTAAGGGATTCCATAGCAGTGCCAAGTGTTAAGAACAAACCAGAATTTGACTGTTAAATATTAAGAAGGATTCACTTTGTTCTGTGGTAGGATTGACCACTTGAGATCATCAGAATTGCTCTGATGCTTTTTTCATGCTGGCAGAACTTAATATACTTAGAAATCAAATGTTTGGCAACTGTCGTTTTGTTTTCACTGACCAGTATACGAAGCCACGATTTCTTCCAGTTTGCAATGCTTCCCGGTGACTCAGCTTTTACCACCACCGGCCCTTCCCCTCTCCTTTTCCCATCCCGGCCCACCTCTGTGTATCCTGCAGGAACTGCATCTGGGTGAGGTGCCCACCAGGGTGCTTCCTTTGCTCCTGGTGCTTCTGTTCCAATCCCACTGGGCAGTGGCACTTGCAAGTTGGTCCATCTTCCAAACAAGACCAGGAGTATCTTGAAGTGAAGACCACATCTTGCTGATGTGGGCATCTCTTGTAACTAGTCCATACTCTCTGATGTTTACAGCAAGGATGGTTAGTAAGCAGTGATGTATAGCTGTCTGTCTGTCTGTCTGCATCTCTCTTAGGGTGGAAAGACTGAGCATGCTTGGGGAGATTTGGTTAAAGGGATGGGGGAAGGGAGACCTCAAGAATGAGGACCCTGGATCCAGGCTGCCTGGGGGAGAACCCCAGCTCTGCCATATTTTAGTGGTGTAGCCTTGAAGAAATCACTTGTCCTTTCTTGTGTCTTGTGTTCCTCATCTGTAAAATGGGAAGAATGAGAACTACGAGTTTATCGTGAGGATTAAATGAGATAGTACATTTCAGCTGTTTAGACTGGTGCCTAGAGTAGGCACTCAGTGAACGCTATTCTTTTAAATGGGACTGACCCTTAAGCAGAGGCTATTATATAGCAGTTCATTTATTTTACATTTCCTTGAAGTTTCCATATGCAAGTAGATGCTTATTTCAATTATCCCTTTCGACTCTAGCCGTGGTTTGGGAGGTGCCTGCCACTATTTCGTGGCTCTTTGGGAAGCCGTGGGTAGGAAATTTTGTGGTGTCTTACAGATCACTGAGTAAGCTGTTAACTAACATGAATTGCATAAGGGAGAGGAGAATGCAGCAACCTTGGGAGATGCATTGATTGGGCACTAAACAGCCTGCTTCCAGTACCTGGGACCCCAAAAGAATGCGGGGTACTTCGGGGAAAGGTGTGCTTGTAGATAATGCCTGTAGAATGCTTGTTCACATA